CAAGAGTTTGAGGTTGCTGTGAACTATGACATCAGGGCACTCTACCAAAGGTGACAAAGCAAGACTCTGTCGCAAAAAAATAAATAAATAAATAATAAAATAAAATTTGTAGCAATTGATGTGACATGGGACAGTTTTAACAGCCTATGAGAATTTTTCTTGGCACTTCATTTTGAGAGTGGCTTTGTTAAACTATTCTCCCATAGCCATCCTCCTTAAGTCACTTAGCCATGTATTTTGGAGCTAGAGGGAGAGCCATCCATACCCCAGATTTGGACAAAATCATTTAGCACAATAAAGATGAATTTCCCTAAGATTCTTTAAGCTAGAAAGGTCTCGGCTCGGTGCCTATAGCTCAACCAGCTAAGGCGCCAGCCACGTACACCTAAGGTGGCGGGTTCGAATCCCCAGCCCGGACCCGCCAAACAACAATGACGGCTGCAACCAAAAAATAGCCGGGCGTTGTGGCGGGCGCCTGTGGTCCCAGCTACTTGGGAGGCGGAGGCAGGAGACTCGCTTGAGCCCAGGAGTTGGAGGTTACTGTGAGCTGTAATGCCACGGCACTCTACCCAGGGGGACAGCTTGAGGCTCTGTCTCCAAAAAAAAAAAAAAGCTAGAAAGGTCTCTCTTTTCAAGTTATCCCAGGATCCCAAAGGCCTAGATATGGACACCCTCATTCCATATCACCTTTATATTATACATGTGTGTGTGTGTGTGTGTGTATATATATATATATATATATATTTTTTTTTTTTTTTTTTTTTTTAAAGACAGAGTCTCACTTAGTCACCCTTAGTAGGGTGGCGTGACATTACAGCTCACAGCAACCTCAAACTACTGGGCTCAAGTGCTTCTCTTGCCTTGGCCTCCCAAGTAGCTGGGACTACAGGTGCCCACCGCGATACCCAATTATTTTTAGAGACGGGGACCTCGCTCTGGCTCAGGCTGGTCTTGAACCTGTGAGCTCAGGTAATCAATCCACCCGCCTCAGCCTTCTAGAGCGTTAGGATTGCAGGTGTAAGCCACAGCGCCCAGCCCAATATCCCCTTTTTTAAACCAACACTACATGTCTAAATTTAAATTTCCAGGCCAGGTGTGCTGGCTCACACCTGTAATCCTACCACTCTAGGAGGCTGAGGCAGGAGGATCCCTTGAAGCCAAGAGTTTAAAACCAGCCTGAGCAAGAGGGGACAAGGAGGAGACCTCCCCACCCAGGTCTCTAGTAAAAATATAAAAATTAGCTGGGTATGGCAGTACACACCTATCGTCCCAGCTACTCAGGGAGGCTGAGGCAGGAGGATCACTTGAATGCAGGAGTCTGAGGTTGCTGTGAGCTAGGCTAATGACACAGCACTCTACCCAGGGAAACAGAGCGAGAAAAAAATCTTTTAATTTCCAAAATATTCATTAACCTGGGTGAATTCTTAAAATATGTTTACAAATTAAACTACCTGAAGAAACTTCTAGAAAAGGAAAAGAAAAATAGCTAGTGAAGTGACACAGACCTACTGTAGGTAAAAAAGTTTCAGTTCAGTTTCATCAGATCATAGAAACCCAGCACGCTTGAAGCTGGGGTTCATGTGAGGGTTTCTCCCCAAAGAGATTCACACACTACGATCCTGTGTACGAGGCTACAATAGCACACTGTGATGTGTCTGTGATCTGTCCTGCCTTCTAGATATGGAGACTAATATTGATCACAACTAATCATTTTCCTTCCAGAGGGATTATATCAATTATATAAAAAGCAGAAGCACAGGGTTGATGATGTGAAAGAAAAGGTATTTTATAAGATTTAACAATTTGTAAATGTGCTGGGGATGCAAATATGCAGGTGTGTGTTTATTTAGATAAATGTCACCTGAAACTCAAACCCTAAAGTTACAATCATGTCAGAATAGTATGTGTAATACAGTAGTCCACCCTTATTGGGGTGGGGGATGTTCTGAGCCCCCCAGTGGATGCCTGAAACTGTGGATAGTACCAAACCCTATGGATATATAGATACTGTGTTTTTTCCTATACACACAGATATGACAAAGTTTAATTTAAAAGTTTGGCACAGTAAGCGATTAACAATAATAATTAAAATGAAATACGACAATTATAACAAGATATTATAATAAAAGTTATGTGAATGTTGTCTCTCTCTGTCTCTCCCAAAATACCTTTTAGTCCTGTACCCATTTTTGGACCAGGGTTGACCGTAGGAAACCAGGAAACAGAAACCACGGATAAGAGGAGACGAGTAACCCAAATACCCTAATGGTTATGTTTATCCACAAAAGCGTAGACAATGATCTATTAGGCGATGAACAGTACTAGATAGGATCATTGCTATTAATTTCTCTAGAGTAGTGAATGTAAAAGAATGAACAAATGGAATACACACAGTGAGCAACAATTAAAATGTTAGAGAGGCAAGGCTTTCACATGCAGAAGCTGTTACGAGGATTGGAACAGAAAAGAGAGGAAAGTTATAGAAAGTCTATCAAATGAGGTACAGAACAAATAGGATTTAAGGTTCACGGCGGAAGAGAAACCAAAGAAGGTCACAAACAAGGGTTTGCCCCCGAAAAAGAAGACTGGGTGAGGAAATGTATCACTGCTGATTTAAAGCAGAGAGATATGTATCTCATCATTTTTGTACCACTAATAAAAATAAATACTAGCCCAGCACACTACTTCAATTTTGCAGACAACACAAATGATGCAGCCAGTAAGATTTAAAATGTGATTATTGTAAGACCTCGAATAGTTCATAGCTAAGCTAAATTCAAAGCAGAAATGATGAGCTTGGAGACAGGAAATGAGTCTTTAATGGAAAGACGTTGGCTATATAAATTAAAGCAGAGATGTGGAAAAGTTGTTTTTTTTAAATCTACAGCTAACTGTATATTAGCTATTAAAATTTAAGTGACACAGTTGAGTGGATCATCAAGACAAATGAACTCAGAAAGCATTTGAATAGCAAGTCGCTAATCTGCTTGCAGCTGCAGTGTGTCACCCTTAGGAGACTGGACTGATTATGCAGAGTTGGTAGAACAATGTTTACTAGCCAGTGTCAACAAAGAATTTTGAATTTATCACAATGAAAATGAAAAGAAAAATCTTGTTTTTGAAGATATAAAGTTACATCAGTATTTCTTTTGAAATATTCCCTCTACTAATTTTGTGAATGTATACAACGATCATATGGTTAATCCCTTATAAAATAATTATCCAACCTTAAAGAAATGAACGTATCATTCTTTCCAAAATGACAGGAAGAAAACATTTTACATTGTATGCAGAGTGGCTATCACCATATATTTGGAAGTTCTGCTTTGCTCTTCCCCATTATTTCAAAGACTCTCCCTCAGTATTCCAGGCTTGTTATCAACAATTTTCTCAAATCTTCTTAAAATAAAAATTTTAAAGAAGGAAACCTAAATGTAAGACTCTAAGAGATGCGAATCACCTTATAGACTAATTCTAATTGTCCCTGAAAATTTGCTTATAAGGTAATTTCTATATTCTAATATTCATGTCCTAGAAAAGTGTTCCAATACAAAGAATTTGGGTAATAAATCATGCTTAAGCATGTAGAAACCTCTTAAATGACATTTTCTCCATAATATATAAAGGTTGATGTTAGGGACAGGCAGGGTATCTCATGCCTATAATCCTAGCACTCTGGGAGGCTGAGACAGGAGGATTGCTTGAGGCCAGCAGTTCAAGACCAGCCTAGAGAACATAGTGTGACTCCATCTCTACAAAAAAATTTAAAAATTAGCTGGGCATGGTGGCACACACCTGTAGTCCCAGCCACTTGGGAGGGTGGGGCAGGAGGATCACTTGAACCCAGGAGTGCAAGGTTACAGAGAGCTATGGTGATGCCACTGCACTCCACCCTGGGTGATAGAGAAAGAAAAAATAAAATAAATTAAAGGTCAATGTTGAACAAAATAAATATATAACAGTAACTATGGTTATTATTTTGATGTTTAGGCTTTTTAATGGCATAAAGAAACACAATGGTTTTAGGAGTCTAAAAATTCTTTTGCCAGAATGTATAATAGGAATAATTTACAACTTTCTTAAACTAATCAGATCCTGACTTTTTAATGAAATTATAAGCCTTGAAAAGAGAGTAAGCTGTGTGGGAGGTACATAGCCCTCCAACTGGGGGTAAAGCATGCAGGCGGGCCATCCTTGTGGCTCCTCCCAGATCACCAAAGAATCTCATCAGACCACATTAGAAGAGAGGACCCTGGAGGCAGCCCAGTCCGGGGAATGTGAGCATGACCATCCCTGCACGGAGGGTCAGCAGAACAGACAGGTTAAGACCTGTGTCCTCCTGGTCAGCAGTTTAGATTAGAGAAGTTAAGATATCTTCCCTGCAAGGACAAAACCTGCTTTCCCCCTCCCCTTTTCTAAATATACATTATCAGACCATTCCAGACATTCCATTATCCAATGTTCCTGATTACCCTACCTTCCTGAGAGCAAGGGATTCTCTCTGATCCTATTTTTGAGCACAATAAAAGACCCCTGCACTGCCTCAATCTGCCACGCAGTGTGTGAGATAGTGGATGCCTCTCCAGGCCTCTCAGACTTTATGCATTCAGTTGGTGTGAAATCAGCCTCAGTCAGCTGATATGAACTAAAGATGGAGGAGATACATTTGCTATGTTCAGACTTTAGCAGTATATGAGTAACTTGAGAAACACATTTATTAGAACTCAAAACAGTAAGTGATAGTGGGGAATATATATGCTGCAAAAAACAGCCAAAGAGATTTAAAAAATGGAGTCACAGCTTCTCTGGCACAAATTCATAGCCTCTATTCTGGTAAAATTCCCTTCACAGGATTTTACAGATACTGAGTTATATCCAGATTTACCAACTTCTTGGTCTTCTCCTTCCTATTGCCTAGGGACTCTCTAAGCTACTACATGAGTGCAGTCCCTGGGCGGTCTGAGCATCACAAACACACATCATTCCCAGGGAGTGCTCACCGTTTTCACCGAGTCACTCAAAGCTTCCCACTGCAGGAATGGTATCGACATCTGGCTCCTTCGCCAGTGGTCATAGCGGGCTCGACGCTCTTCATTGGTCAGAATATCCTTAGCCTTCTGTAGTGTCTGAAAAGTCTCCACTGGAAAACAAATCAAGAGATGAGCACTTCTCTTGTAGAGAGATTATTTTAAATTCCAAAGCTATTGAATAAATATCACAAGAAATCATGACTGCCATTTACTAGCTATGTGACCTTGGCCCAATTTACCTCATTAAGCTTTTGTAAAGTATATTCAAGATCATGGATTTACCCGTGCCTGGCACACAGTTTATCCACTCCCTTCATTTTGCTTCAGTGATGTGCCAGGTGCTATTCCAGTTGCCAGTAACACAGATATGAACATTATTAGCAGGAGAAAAAAGACATTTATAAACATTAGAAAAAGATAATTCCATCCAGACTAGAAAGAAAATTACCTTTCTAGTGCTAACAGAGAGGGTAGTGACTAGGCAAGAGGGACAGTAAAAATGAAGACTCTAAGGTGGGAAGCAACACAGTGATTTAGAGCAGGCGTCCTCAAACTACGCCCACGGGCCACATGCCGCCCTCCTGGGACATTTATCCAGCCCACCGTGTGTTTTTGCCACCGCTGCCTGTCCTGCTTAGCAGCTGACTCCTCCCGGGGCCTGCAATCCAGCCCTCCAACAGTCAGAGGGACAGTGAACTGGCCCCCTGTTTAAAAAGTTTGAGGACCCCTGATTTAGAGGAAGCATCAATTGCCATGTGGCTGGAGGAAACTGGCCCCGGAAAGGACAATGAGGAATGGGGCTGTGGAGTAGACTAGAGCCCGCCATTCAATCTAAGTCATGAATCCTTAGATGTCATGCTAAGGATTCGAGCCTGCTTTTTATCATAAGAACAATGGGAGGGTTACCCATAGTAAATAGCATGGTTTGTGCTTGGCAAATGGTATCTTTGTCACTAATCTATTTAGCCAGAGGGCTTATAATAAAAACTTTTCACGGTCCTGTTGGAAACACTTCCAAAGTCTCTTCTGCCCCTCAGTGAAATTTTCTGTAGAGCAAAATACAAGATTAATATACAAAAATCAATGGTGTTTTTATGCATGAGTAATAAACAATTTGAAAATGAAATTTAGAAAACTATTCCATCTATAAGAGTATCAGAAAGAATAAAATATAGGCTGGGCACAGTAGCTCATACCTGAAACCTTAGCACTCTGGGAGGCCAAGACAGGTGAATAGTCTGAGCTCAGAAGTTCAAGACCAGCCTAAGCAAAAGCAAGACCCCATCTCTACCAAAAATAGAAAATCTAGCCAGGTGTGGTGGCACAGACCTATAATCCCAGCTACTCAGGAGGCTGAAGCAAGGGGATTGCCTGAGCCCAAGAGTTCAAGTTCACTGTGAACTATGATACCATAGCACTCTACCTAGGGCACAGAATGAGACTCTGTCAAAGAAAGGTAGAGAAGGAAGGAAGGAAAGATGGAAGGAAGGGATGGAGGGAAGGAAGGGAGAAACATTTTTAACAAAAAAGTGCTCTACACACGCTAAAAACTATACAATATTGTTGAAAGAAAATAAAGATTTAAATAAATAGAAAGACACTCCATGTCCATAGATTTCAAAACTTCACATTGCTAAAATACTAATAGACCTCAAATGTGTATCCCAGTTGCCTTTTCTGCAGAAATTGACAAGCTAGTCTTAAAATCCAATTTCACATGCAAGGGACCCAAAAGAGGGGGAAAATAATATCCTCTTGAAAAAATAATAACAGGCTCGGCGCCTGTGGCTCAAGCAGCTAAGGCGCCAGCCACATACACCTAAGGTGGCGGGTTCGAATCCAGCCCGGACCCGCCAAACAACAATGATGGCTGCAACCAAAAAATAGCCGGGTGTTGTGGTGGGTGCCTGTGGTCCCAGCCACTTGGGAAGCTGAGGCAAGAGACTCATTTGAGCCCAGGAGTTGGAGGTTGCTATGAGCAGTGAAGCCATGGCACTCTACCCAGGGGGACAGCTTGAGGCTCTGTCTCAAAAAAAAAAAAAAAAAAAAAAGAATAACAAAGGAGGACTCACACTTCTAAATTTCAAAACTTACTGTAAAGCTACAGTAATGAAAATAGTGAATACTAACATAAGGATAGACATATAGATAAATGAAATAGAATTGAGAATAGAGGAATAAAGCTTCACATTTGCAGTCAACTGATTTTTGACAAGAGTGTCGAGATAACTCAATTGAGAAAGAATAGTCTTTCCAACAACTGGTGCTAAGGTGCTGAGAATGAATTTGGATCCCTACCTCAAACCATAGACAAATACTAGCTCAGAAATGGATCACGTTCAAACGTAAGAGTTAAAATTATAAATCCCTGAGAAAAAACATGAATTAAATTTTCATGACTTCAGATTAGGTTCCTTAGAATGGCTCCTCAGATATGACATCAAAAGCACAAGCAAGCAAGGAAAAATAGATTAATTGGACTATATCAAAATTAAAACATTTGTGTTTCAAAGAATACTATCAAGAAAGTGAAGACAACCCATGGAATGGGAAAAATACTTGCAAACCATAGATATCACAGGGTACTTACATCTAAAATTTATAAAGAACTCTTAAATTCAATAAGAAAAAGAAAATACAATCACAAAATGGGCAAAGGATTTGAATGGACATTTCTCCAAAGAAGATAATAGACAACAAGCAAATGAAAAGACACTCAACATCATTCAGTCCTCTGGGAAATACAAATCAAAACCATAGCAAGATATCACTTCACACCCAATAGGATAGCCAAAATTATAAATAGGGTGGTGCCTGTAGCTCAGTGGGTAGGGCGCCGGCCACATACACCAAGAGTGGTGGGTTCAAACCCAGCCCTGGCCAGCTAAAACAACAACAACTGCAACAACAACAACAAAAAATAATAATAATAATAGCCGGGTGTTATGGTGGGCACCTGTAGTCCCAACTACTCGGGAGGCTGAGGCAAGAGAATCACTTAAGCCTGAGTTTGAGGTTGCTGTGAGCTGTGACTCCACAGCACTCTACCGAGGGCAACAAAGTGAGAGTCTGTCTCAAAAAAAATAAAAATATAAACATAAATAGATAATTTTGAAAAATAGTTTGGTATTTCCTTAAAACAGTAAACAGAGTTGAAATTATCTCTTACTTTTATTTATAAATATTAGTTGTCTATTTTTTGAGACTTAAAAAAAAAGAAGTTAACTAATGACGCCATACTGAATCTCAGTGTCAAAGCATTCTATAATAGACATACTCTTATTTGACAATGTAAATGTTACTCTCTTTGGCATTATTATTATTATTATTATTGCCTAATATTTCAATGCAGCAATCATCTGATTTCTTTTCTGAATTTATGTTCATTTGTTCTTTATGAGTCTTTTGTTTCTAGTCCTTATCTTAAACATTGTTATTGTTATTAAATTTTAAGCCTTTTTAATTTTGTGAAGGCAAAAACTGGAAACCTAATAAACACATGTATATGTAATATGTGTATATATATATAATTTTTTAAAAGTGTGAAAAAAAAAACATTAAACAGAGTTACCCAACCATTGGGTAATGATATGACCCAACCATTTCAATCCTGGATATATACCATGAGAAGTGAAGGCATATGACCACTAAAAATCTATAGCATTATTCATTAGCCAAAAAGTAGAAACAACCCAAATGTCCACCAGTTGTGACTGAATAAACAAAATGTGGCATATCCAAATAAAGGAATTATCATTCAGCCATAAAAAGGAATGAAATATTGATACATCCTACATGAGCCTTGAAAACACTATGCTAAGTGAAAGAAGCCAGTGACAAAAGGCTACATATAGTATCGTTTCTTTTATATTAAATATCCAGAATAGACAAATCTTTAGCGACAGAAAGCAAATTAGTTGTTGCCAGGGGCTGGGAAGTGACTGTCAATGAGTAAGAGGTTTCTTCTCGTGGTGTTGAAATGTTATGAAATTAGATAGTAGTGATGGTTGCACAACACTGTGAATACACTAAAAACCACTGAAGTTACATTTTAACAGGTGAACTTTCCGGTATGTGAATTATATCTGAATAAGCTGTTGTTTAAAAATAACTATCCATAGAGGTGATGGAAGCTTTGCAGCATGATTACCATGGTAATTAACCAATCTATACAGATGTTAAAATTCATAGAACTATGTACCAAATAAGTTAGTTTTACTGTATGATAATTTTCTTTTTTTCTTTTGAGACAGAGTCTCACTCTGACACCCTGAGTAGAGTACTGTGACATCATAGCTCACAGCAACGTCAAACTCTTGTGCTCAAGCAATCCTCTAGCCTCAGCCTCCACATATCTGGGACTACATGAGACCTCTACAACACCTGGCCAGTTTAGGCTGGTCTGGATCTCTTGGGCTCAGGCGATCCACTTGCCTTCGCCTCCCAAAGTGCTAAGATTATAGACATGAGCCACCACACACACCCTATGATACTTTTAGAAATAAAGTTATTCTAAAACTGTATTGAAAAACACATAGGGCTCGGCGCCTATAGCTCAACCGGCTAAGGCACCAGCCACGTACACCTAAGGTGGCAGGTTCGAATCCCCAGCCCGGACCCGCCAAACAACAATGACAGCTGCAACCAAAAAAAAAAAAAAAAAATAGCTGGGCGCTGTGGCGGGCGCCTGTGGTCCCAGCTACTTGGGAGGCGGAGGCAGGAGACTCGCTTGAGCCCAGGAATTGGAGGTTGCTGTGAGCTGTAATGCCACGGCACTCTACCCAGGTGGACAGCTTGAGGCTCTGTCTCAAAAAAAAAAAAAAGAAAAACACATAGACGATAACTTGTGAAAGGCCAGAGATAAAATTATGAATAGAAAACACTGTCATAACAATAGTTATTATTTGTAAGCACAGATCACATTTCTCTTTTACAAAAAGTTTATGGAGTGGGTATTATTATTATTGCCCCTATTTTATAGAATCTAAGGCTAGAGAGGTTAATGTAACTTGCCCAATGTCCCAAAGCTTCAAGTGATGAAGCCATGATTTAAACCCGAGCCTGCCAGGCTCCCAACCTGCACTCTCCAGGCTGCACTTGACCACCTTAT